TAGTGGACAATGTTCTTGAAATTGTTGACCAGGATTTGAGTTTTTTTTAAATTGTATTAAACAACTGAACTCGATCATTTCGTACCTGAGTTCCAAGGCAGGAGAGAGAGCGCAGGTGGCTGGTGCGGCTCAATCCGCCCCCAAGCGTGCTGCCACACCTGGTTCGGATCCCACCGTAGTGTTATTTACAAGGAATTCTTACCCAGAGACCTTATCCCTAACCCTAAACTTAACCCCAATTTTCGCCCTAATCTTTATACTCTCACCGTAATCGACCTGGAAATTAGCGCAAGGCCTCTGCGTACATGGTTTCGACTCGCAAATTTCCCGTCCAGCATGAACGTTTTCGTCGAATAGATGCCGCCGATAGGATTCTTTGTACTCTGAGTCCTTCATGCTTGCAACTTTGTTTTCCATTAACTTGTCCTGATTTTTCAGCACTTTAAATAAGGTAAAACTGCTTATGATTTCCCTGAAACACCTGCTCTCCCCTTTTGTGCAATAGGTTGCCTTCTTCATTCTGCCCGTCATCTTCGTCTTCAAGCGCGATCTCGCACCCGCAACTTCCCTGATTGTCATCCTGGAACAGACACGTATGCTGATGAAGTCACACGCTTTCATCCGCACCAACGCTGTGAATGCCTTCATACCACCGGATGTTGCCAAGTTGGAAGTGTCGCCGGGAAGTTTCAAAAGGCCCTGTGAACGTTTTCCTTCCGTAGCCATAGGCGACGGTCCGCCCACCTTGGACACAGAATTGTCTATGAGCAACACCTACCCTCTGCCCTCCTTCTCCACCTACCTCTACTTCCTATTCGCGCCCACTCTCATCTTCAGCAACACCTACCCACGCACGCCCTATGTCCGGTGGCGCATTGTGGCCGAAAATTTCCTGCAAGTGGGCCTCTGTGTCATCTACAATTACTACATCTTTGCCCGCTTCTGCTTCTCCCATTTCGCCAACTTCGGTCGATCCAACCACTTCACCTTCTCGCCCCGTGAGCTCGTCATCTCCAGCTTTGGCTGTATGCTACCCGGTGCAATGGTCCTTCTCATCACCTTTTACGCTTTCCTGCACTGCTGGTTGAACGCATTTGCCGAGATGTTGCGCTTTGGCGACCGTCTTTTCTACAAGGACTGGTGGAACAGTTTCACCTTCAGTGCCTACTACCGAGGCTGGAATGTGG